TCGACCTCTGTCCCCCTGCCAATACAGACTGCGTACGGTCGGTGAGGAAGGAGGAGAACCACCGCATCACAGTGCCTCCCACTCCCAACCCACCCAACCGCCGCAGCATGATACTGTGGTCCACAGTATCAAAAGCCGCTGAGAGGTCCAAAAGAACAAGGACAGAGGAATGGCCCCTGTCCCGGGCCCTCCAGAGATCTCTTAATGCAAAGTGTGTATATAATCTTAAATCCAAGAAAGAAGAATATAAAGAAAGAAGTAGGTGATATAATAATTTCATCTCTGATTTGAGTCAATAATTAGTTTTTAAATATACCGCATCATCCCAAGTTTTCTTAGGCATTTCTATACAGATAGTCCTTGTTTAGGAACTGCCTTATTTAGAGACCATTCACAGTTAAGACAGCAATGAAAAGGTAACTTTATAAACAATCCTCACATTTACAACCTTCACAGGTCTATATAACAAAGCAAAGCTGAAGTAAAATCATAAGCACAGCTGTGGTTTCATTTAGTGACTAACTTTGTTTAATAAACAAGTTGTTAAATGAGGACTACCTGTAACTCTATTGTGTGCTCCTGTAGAAAGAAAAATCCTCATCAGGGTCCAGTCCAAGCTGGGAATAATCAAAATGGAGACTGCTTTAGAAAGAAGGTTGCAGTTTATTGAAGAGGAGAGCCAGACAGAAAGATGGCTCTGGGAAAAACTGACCACATGTAGCAGGGAATGCTGGGCTTTTATGCCTCCTTTGGGCTTTGTATTTGAAGTTCTTCCTGTTAGAGGATTTGTATTTCCTGTGTCATGTACTTTGACCGGAGTCTGAGTGTGTCCTTTTGGTATTGGTGGGTTAATCCTATTATGTTTCCTGTCCTTAGAATTTGGGTGGGGTATGTAGATTTTAGGTGTCTTTGTCTTCCTAATCTCTTCAGTTTCTAGCTGGAAGGCTCCAACCTTACAGAATGGATTATTGAATTTGCATTTCTAAAAGCTGGCCTCTGCCTAGGGGCTGGGGCTGGTTTCTATCTTTTTCTCCATTATTCCTTTGGGGAAATATATTCTGCCTTTTTAATATTCCCCCAAATATTTCTTTCTCTGGATTCTTCCCACACTCCTATTTAGGCATGATTTTTGCTTATCATATTTGGCTGGAATCTTTTTTCATTCCCTTAGACAAGAAGGAACTACAGCCCAGAACAAAATAATTCTGGAAAAAAAATGTAAAATGTTTGTTTTATATAGTATTTATTAGTACCATGGTAAAAAGTGTTTTAAATTTAGATGAATTTGTTAGAATATGAAAGGAAAGATACTACTGTTGTTTTGTAAGAAAGCACCAAGCCATTTTGAAAAAAAACCAGTATTGTTCTTTATCAAAAATTATTAAAATTTTGTTAAAAATATCTGCAAACACATAAAAATGAGAAAAACATGTATATCTTATATAACAATAGTCTTATGTGTAGAATTAAACTATTTAAATTTAGATCTGTTGATTCAATAATAGTTATGTGCTTTATTTATAATGGAAATTAAGCATATAAATAAGTATATGTGCTGAAATTAATTCTCCAAATACAATTTTTGACAATGAAATACATGCTCACATATATTAAAAAGGCAGGTTTTTTGGACTATGTACATTTGGTGGAAGACAGCATGTGCTTCGACCCTTATAGTGCTTTTTTTGCAACTGTAAGAACATGCAATAGCTATTTTCTTCTTCTGTTAGTTTCCAGCTAATGGATGTGTAATTCAGGAGAACAAAGGCTTCATCAAGAATATGACTCCAAGAACAATCTTATCCTAAAGTTGTGAGCACCTAACAGTGAGCTTAACCCACCATCTATGTGTCTAATGGATCTAAAGCAATAGTTTTTTTAAATTAAACTTAAAATCTAAAAAACGTGACATACAAAAATGGTTTTGGAATGAGGTTTGTGCATTGAAGTCTAGTTTCTTTTCCCCATAGCTATGCAAAGAGCATTTTAATTCTGTGATGCTACAGAGCATTTTGAAACACTTTCAGTTGTTGACTCATATCTAAATCTAAGTGCTCTTGTACTTTCTAGCATAAGTTATTTATACTGTAGCTCCTGAAATAATACAAATTCTATAGTTTGATCCTCTTGGTGGTTCTGAGGAATGTGT